TTTTGGAACTCCAGGTTATGGAATGAAACGGAATTCAGTGATGGTAATTAATTCTTCCTCACCTTTGTGTTATCTCCAGTTTGCCTAAATGATGTAGTTGTTATGATAACAGCTGCTGAGAATCATCTGCAGGCTACAGCAGAGCTAAAAGCCACACTATCTCTGTGTAATTCCTAGGAAGCAAGACCTCCTCAGGTTTCCTTGATCTTGGCATCAAATTTTACTCTAGGTTTGTTTCTAACACTTGTTTTGACAATGTGTTACTTTAGAAACAGGATATACAGGGGGAGAAAAGTTCGGGTAAGTTCTATAGATACAGAGTTTAAGGTATATGCACTTAAATATGTGCCACACAAAGACTGCATTTCATGAGGGTGTGTAGGTTGACTGAAGTAGTGCTACTTTTACCTTTCTCTTTTCAGCAAATTAGCTTTGCATAATGGAGAACAAATGTATTTGACATGAAAGTCAAGAACAATACTGCATTATAGCACTCTTAAATACAGCAGATAAAAATGTTCTATTTATTCTGTTGCAGGGATGACACAAAGAAGCAGAAAGGACAGACGAACTGTTCTTTAGTTGTCTCTCTTACGGCTATTTGGAAATGCTGAGACAGGCTGAAGACTGGCAGGAGCTGGTTTTCTGAAGGGCTGCTTGCTGGCCGTCAGCAGCCCACAGACCCCACGTAGGCACCTGGGCTCAGCAGGACTGAGTGGGTTCCTTCCCCGGCAGTGCTGATGTTCAGTGAGGGGCAAGTGTAAACCTGAGGTTTTGTTCTCATCCATGCAGGTACCTGACCGCTGGGCCAGTCATAGGTGTTGGACTTTGTGGTTTCTGCCTACTTTACGTGATGTGGATTTGCATCGTGTAAAATGAAACTTTGATTTGGGGAACGGAGAGCCTTTTATTTTTGGTCAACTTGCTTAAAACCTGATGTGAGAAGTCATGTAAGAAAGGGGTACAAATTCCAGGCCCTGCAAAAATGCAAATTAATTTTACAGTAACAAACTCCCAGCTGTATTCTGTCCTGCTGGGCTATTTAATTAAAAAGGAGGCACTAGTGTTATCTGCTCCTCCTTGGGCGGGGGGAGAGAATGTGTGCGTGTGCCCACACAGTGGTTAATGAAAATAATGAAGTTTTTTTTTTTAGATCATTCCATTTGCAATAGAAGTGCTCATCTCTGAGCAAGTCAGAGTTAAAAGAAGACTTCTGTTTGCTAATGAAAATATTGTGGAGTTGCTAGAAGGGGAAACAAAACAACAAAAAAAAACCTCCTTAGCTTTTGAAAACTTATTTATACAAAAACTTTTAGCTAAATTGCTTGTCATGCTGTCTTCAACTTCTTTTAAGCCCTCTTTGAGCTATGATGGAATTTAGAGTGAAAGTCAAAGATTTGAAGAGGTCGTACCCATGATCAGTGTTGTGCCTACTCAAGCCTTGATGCTGCACTCAACAGAACATGGCGCCGAGTCTTTTATTTCTGTGGGTGGGGGAACTGCATAGTGCAGACTGGAGCTGTGTAGCTTAGAAAACACCAACGGCATTAACTGCTTCCCTGGAAAACTCACTGCTCTTCACGAAGTGCTGCTTCAGCAGCTCACCGAAAGGCCACTTTTATTATTTTTTTTTTGGGTGTTATTTTGATCCTTTGTTCAGGTGGGGGCAAACAAATGAGTGGGACAGCTACAAAGGTATGACTTTGTACCAGGGAGGGTGTACCAGCTCCTAGGCTACGGGGAGGGTGTCAGCACTCCTGAGCAGGTTCCCAGACCACTGTTGTGGGCAGCAGGCAGGAGAGGATACCCCTGCCCCCAGCTCTAGTACAAGCACTCTTCTTCCTTTGCATACTAACTCCCAGGTAAGTTATGCATTATAAATAATTGCAATAGTCTTCCAGCATTTATTGTAACTATTTAAGCATAACTAATATAGTCATCTTTAGTATAAGACCCAGATCCAACATTTCTTACAGCTAGGCCTTGTTTCATCCTTCTCTCTTGATTAATTTTGAATTAATTTCTGCACAGTTACTTCTAGAAGTCAGGTGCGTAAAATGCATTGGCTCCCATGGCCAAGTTTTGAGAGGCTCACAGAGGGTGAGAGCGCTGGTGCAGGGCTGGCAGGCCTGTCCTGTGAGGGGTGGTTGGGAGAGAAGGTGGCTGAGGGGCAACCTCATTGCTCTCTGCAGCTTCCTGAGGAGGGGATGTGGAGAGGGAGGTGCTGAGCTCCGCTCCTGGGATCCAGGGACCTGGGACTGGCTCAAAGCTGCCTGTCAGGGGAGGCTCAGACCTGACAGGAGGAAGCGGTTATTTACTGAGGGAGTATCAGACCCTGGAACAGGCTTCCTGGAGCGGTGGTTGATGCCCCAAGCCTGGCAGTTTAAGACACAATGCCCATCAGAACGTGCTTTACCCCCCGAAGTGGTTGGCCTGGATGACTGTTGTAGGGAACTGTGCTATACTACAGAAAGCACCGGGAGTTGCAGAACCTTATGGTCTGGGCTTTTCCGGTCTCCCTCTCCTAATACAGTCTCGGAGAGAGGAGATGCTCTCCTAGGCCTGCATTTTATGCTGCTGCTCCGAGTTCATGGGCGTGCAAGTAAATTGGATTTGTGACAGATGAAGTAGGACACATGATGGTGCTATTTACCTTTACAGAACAGAAAACTTAAAATGCCACAGGTTACAGAACAGATTTTGAACATTCTTTGACAAGAATGACACTAACAACTTGCAGTTTAATGGTATTTCTTAAAAGAAAAACTGAAGCTCTTTTTGGTAAGGATTTAAAAGCATTTTATTGATTGTTGTCCTATAAAATCATAGAAGTCTTTAATTCCTGAAGAACTGTGTCCAACAATAGGAAAAATGTCTTTTAAAAAACATTACAGCACTTTAGGAAAAACTAGGTATGAAAAATATATACAAGATATTAAAAAAAATCTGAATAAAATTAATGTCTGGATTTATACATTCAGTGGTGTTAAAAATCTGCCTGTGTACAATAAAATTTGTTAAAATATTAGCAGTATTTTTACTATGTTAAATAAGTCTTTGTTCAATTTACAGTTTATCCCATTACTATTTTATCAGTCTACTTACAAATTAATTTACAAGGCTGTATAGCCACTGTCAGAGTGTCAAGGTAAATATTTTTTGTACAAACTTACTGCCTTCCTAATATATATTTTAAATTGTTAGAGATAAATCTTTATAAACAGCCCATTCATTCACAAATCAACATACTACAGTACATAAAACAACATGCAGCCCCTTTAAAAAAAAAAGAAGAAAGCCTTTGTACTACACATTTTTCTCTCATTTTTATTGAGCGTGTATTCTACCCTGCTGAGTTATCAGCTGGTCCTTAAAAAGGTGAAGATTCTTATAACACAAACTGTCACACCTATATACAGAAAAGATGCACTGAAATCTACTTTGTTTTTTGAGTGCATTTTGTTCACACAACATGAAGTGTTTGTTTTCTTCTGTGAAATTCCAAAGCTAAACTATATCTGCAAAAATTCAGCAGGTGTTGTGTGTAGTGCAATTGTGAGAAGTCTCCTCTCAAGCAGAGAAGAGCACATGTGAAGCAGCACCAACACGAGCTCCCCTGAAGCAAGGTCCCAGCACTGTTCTACCATCTCACTCGCTCTTCCCCCCCTCCTCCTCTCTTGCCAGAAGCATCCAATGACACCAAGTCCCACTGCACTAGGGGAGGGCAGAGATAAACTACCACGTTCGTCACGGTGCTGAGCTATCTGCTTCCAAGTCTTTCCTCAGCAGTGGTCTTACCATCTATACACACAATGGCGACTGGAAGACCTGGCACCTTAACGGAACTACAGCTCTTCCTTCTCCCTCGTCTTTGCCTGTGGATTCAACATGCTGCTACCCCCTGCTAAAGAAGTAGGTAAACCGAAGTTCAGTTGAACCTTTTGCCTCCACAGAAGGAAATAATACTCAATCTCCTCTCATACAGAAGAGCAGAAAGACTAAAAAACAAAACAAAGCCCCCAGCCCCAGAACAAAGTAGTTAATGTTTTCTGCAGTCCTCATCAAAACCCTTGCTCTAAAGCACTAACTTCATCAGTATGAAGACCTAGTTAAATGCGTGAGGAAAACAGACAGACACATTTCCAGCACTTACACTAAAAGGGGTCTGAGAACAAGATAATCAACACCATCAGATACTGCACAGAGTCTGGTATCCCTTTTTTGCTTTCAGAAATCCTTTCACTGCTGCAGCCCCCAAAGGAGAAGTCTGAGGTGCCTGAATGAAGAACACGCTGTATTTGTTAAAGATCTGCACCACTGCAGGCACTTCCCTGGATTCTTCCCTGGAGCTCGCAGCAGCTTTGCTAACAGCCATCAGAGATCCAATTACTTCTTACAAAGCCTGCGACGTCCCTGGACTTGCGCTGGAGAGGTAGCCCTTTACAAATTACCGTGTTTGTTGGTTATGCTAGTTCAGGTTACACACAGATGTTGACACAACTGGGAAGTATCCCATTAACATACTCTGGTACTGGGAATCTAACTGCAGTTTCTTAGGAGCAGGAAACCAAATATTGCTATTTACCTCCAGCTGAATGGCTGGGTGAGTTGCTGGTGTTCAGTCTCCTGTGCAGACTGCTACACAGAGTTCCGCTTCTGAAAGAAAGTCAAAATGCTCAAAACCAGATGGAGAAAGAATATGTGAAGGGGCAGGGATGGAGGAACTAAAGTTGAAACTAAAATCCGAGTCAAAAAGATGCATGGCTGATCTCCAGTGCCCAAGAAACCACTCCAGGTTGAAATCTGCCACCGGTCGAGCCTGGTTTCAGTTCAGAGCTCTCAAAGCACAGAACAAAAAGGGGTGAGTGTCCAAAACATCTGTGCTCTGTCACACTGGTGACCCACACCTTCCATGTGAGAGCCGCAGGGTGTGCAACCATGCCCCCCCCGACAGCAGGTAGTGCAAATCCTGTAGTATACTCTGGAGAACCAAAAACGGTCTACACGTTGGTTTCAAGGCCAAGTAAGCGCCCCATCCGTTCCATGTTCTTGTCAATCGTGGCACGACACGTGATTTCTTTAGCACACTCCATGGGAAACCAACCTCTTTCGCCATCCCGCAGCCGTTCCCCTTCATACCAACCTGCGAGGGCGAACAGACACGGGGTAACAAACCTTTTCAAGTTCTGTTAAAGATACTTAGCACTCTGTGTGTTGCACTTGAGTAGACACAGCTGACACAGACATCACACACAGTATACATTTACCTTTGTAGGGAATGAAGTAGCAGATTAAGATATAGGTTCGGCAGTGTCCTGGTTTGGCTAAACAGGGCTATTTTCTCCTTTCAGGAGTTTTTATTTCAGTGAAGTTTCTTCGAAGTAACTGCCCTTTCTGACACTACAGCTACATGTTTTCAGACAGTGTCTGCTTTTCAGGCCTGATAACGCTGGACATTTGGGTTGCTACTGAAGTATCAGCAGGATTGGTATGCAGAGAGGCCCGTGTTTATACTTATCCCCATGAGAACCAAAGCCACTGCTGGCCCTCTTCTGTTAAGCAAGTGATAAAAGGCTCGCACCTGCAGAAGAGTGCAGACGGGACAGGTAACCAAAGACTGACCAACGAGGTATTCCATCCCATCCACGTCATCCTCAGTATAAAGCTACGGGATCACGAGGGTGATGTCGTATGTAATGTTGAGTAACATCATTAAGTTAGCATTTAGTGCCTTCAAGTGCTGACAGCAGCGCTGAGTCAGCACATCATGAGGCATTAGCAGACTCACTTGCGCATCCAGGCAAGAATCAATTTTGACCTTGGGGTACTTGACGCTATGGGAAACTTTGGCCAAAGCGCTGTGCATAACAGGCAGCGAAGGGCAGTATACGACACGACTAATACCGAGTATGTTTCTCTTGGACAAACCCGGTGCTCATTCACTAAAATGTCCGAGCTCCATGTTTTTAGGTAGAATTTAACTTCTTATTTGTAGACATTTCACATGTCAAAACCAGCCAGCAGATACTTTCTGCAGCTATTTATCTATATAAATTATGACAGGCGATGAGTTACTTTGAACACCTGTTGCCTGAACAGAGGCTGTCCTTTAGAAACCTGAACCAAAATGCTCAAGTTTTTCTTGGAAGTTAAACCTTTATCCATTGTATGGCCAATGCTATTAGGAAACAAATTTTTCTAGCGGGATTCACCCACAGACAGTTACCGACAGCAAAATTCTCACTCACCATCATTTACTTTTTGATAAACCAAAACAACATCAGCAACTTGAAGAGACAGTTCATCTGCCTGCTTTGCTGTGTACGTTCTGATGATCTCTACCTGAGTCAACACTGTGGAAGAAGGAAGTCAGGCTGAATTAAACAATTCACGTAAGTGAGTATCTTTTATGAAAATACATATACAATTTATTTATAAAATTTACATTTTAGAATATACACACCCCACCCCGCTGCCCTCCTTTTTCCCAAAATGCAAAGGAGGCAGCAAATTATGCAAATGGCTTCCTACCTGAGCAATTACACACAAACAAGCTTGGGATAAACAGGTACGGGCAGGGGCTTTGCACTTTTGCTAACAGATTGAAACAGCTGACCAAACCGGAGTTAACGAAGGCAAACGGAAATTACTGTGCAACACAACTCCTCACAGAAGCCCACGGGCACCTTCACACACACGAAAGCAGCAGAGCCCAGGAAAAGAGGCGGACAACATTCCCGAGGGTATTTCTAGTCTACACTGGCTCACGTCCCCACTAAGGGGCAGTCAGTGCCTTCCCATTCTCCTGCCAAACTCTTCAGAAATCTTCTGGGTTGTAACTTACTTGTCCTGTCCGTTTTCTGCCCGTCTCTGTCCCGTCCAAGCGCTGTGATCCAGCGAGCTCTCTCACTCCTGCAGACAGTGAAGGCAAACCTCAGTTTCCGAACTCAGGCTCTTGAGAGTGGTCAGGACTACTCCCCTTTTCAGGTATTTAAATTTTTCCTCTTTCTTTTTGGGTAAAGAACAAAACTTCCTTTCTCCTCCTCTCAAAATATGGCCAGAAGGTGTGATACTACTTCTAGTAATATATTACTCAAACATAATTAACTATTTAAACAGGTTGGATTAGGAAAAAAAAAGTCTATAAACATGAGACCTACTGGCATGATGTCTTATATACCGTTAATAATTTTTAAGTAATGCAGATAAACTTCTCCACTAGTGTCTGTGACCAATACTTACTAGTAATCTTATTTTTTAAAAAAAACCTAACGTGTAAAACATCTGATAAATGCAATACAATTTTAATACACAACACCAACAGGTTTCCTGTAAGTAAGAACTATCTGCAATGTGCACTTCGAATGAAAAGCAAGAATGATAAAAAAAGGAAGGAAAAAAAAAAAAAAGACACTGAAGTTTCTCCGTGCTCTCAGGAGGACACATTTCTGTTTCCAGATGTGTCGGTTTGGGAAATCTGAGAGCCAGTACAAATAAGCAAGGACCCAATGAAGGCCTAAATTAATTCACTTGAATCTCACCTTGTGTAACCCAGGGAAAACATAGCCAACCTCAGATGACAGATGTCGGTGTTCCTGAGGACAGCAGAAAGCATCACCTAGGTTCTAAGGGGTATGCAGTCAATCACAGAAGTGCACATTACTGACAACTGATTTTGGAAGGGAGTGGAACAAGCTAAAGTGATGTCAGACAGTAGGGGGAAAAGAAAGCTAATCCTAAGTCACCCCTGTTAATGGCTGAGCTATACCAACTTAATTGCTGTAACTTTGATTTTTGGAAAATCAAAATTTTAAGTTGATTCCCAAACCAAGCATTGCAGTGAAATCACATTTTATCTCATGTTTGTTGAAGGGGTTTGTTATCAGTACAGATTAGAGTAACACAAGGGAGCTGCGGGGTTAAATTTTCCTATTTCCCTTCCCTAAAAAAAAAATTTTGTTGCTATCTTTGGATAACTTCAGTTTTCAACTAAAAATAATTAAAAACATCTGCCTTCTGCTGAGACCTGATTTTGTCAAAAATCTGAAACCAGAAGAAAATTTTGTTTGGAAATAGCACCATGGTGTCTTCAGAAGTGTCAGAAAATGGGGTATTTACACAAGTTACGAGAGATTTCTCTAGGGTTCATCTTCCAAGACACACCGTTGCTTGGCTCGCAAAGAGACAATTCAGCAAGGGGTTGTAGTTAGCCTGTGAAGTCCCGTCTGCAACACCCCACTACGCATCGTTCCACAGGAAAGTTCACTAGGCAGCGTTCCACGATCAACTTCACCAGTCTTTCCCAAGAACACTGACGCTTTCTCATGGCCTTTCCTCCAGCGAGCTCTAGAAACCCCTTCTCTGCTCACAGACTAGCAGAACTTCCTGGGGATGCAGGCACTCAGAATGGAAGTCCTTCTAAGCATGCTTCCTTCAGAATGAAAAAATGTCCCACCAATTATTTTGTACTGTTTTTTTGGCATTTAGTAACAAACTGTGATTATGTTTTTTTAATCCCAACACACATTCTTCCTCAAGGATGGAACTACTGCATGTGTCCTACTAACGTTTGGTACCTGCTGATCGGTCAGGTGGCTAAAACTACAACACGTGCTACTTTAGACATTTCAGTCATTAGAAGCAGGTGGTCCTAAACTTGTTGTGTTTCAACCAAAATAAGAGAGTCTGTATACAATTTTGCATAAGCTTAATTAACTTTGTGTTTTGTTTTGTTTTGTTGTGGGTTGTTTGGTTTTTTTTAGAAACAGGTGTTACTTAGACTCTCATTTTCCCTTCCCTGTAACCTTTCTGAACAGGAAAACTACATTTCCTTCCAGACAACTCCAAGAAAAATGGGATAATGCCGGACTGTCTCCCAGTTTAAGTACGTATTTCTTCATAATCTCTGTGTACCATATATTCTGTGCCTTATTCACAGGGCAACGTAAATTTCCTGACCTGACGCTGGTACTTTTGTAGTTGGTAATCACACCCCACGTGGAAGTGACAAAAGGTGATTGAACTGTGCTAGAAATCTTTGTGTCAGCGAAAACATTTGAGTTTTACATGTGCAAAACTCAATTCTGCAAGCACTCTAAACCCTCCAGCCTGGCCTTCCTATTGTAGATTCCCTTCCCATCCTTCTCAAAGTTAAGAGAAAGTTAAGTTTTTCTGTACCTTTTGTATACATGACAATACTCTATAAAAATAGGTCCTTTTCCAATAAAGTAATTCTTTTCAGAATCTTTTCCTCTGAATGACAATCCGCTAGACTGCTATTTGTATTACAGACAGTATACAGCAAATCAATAATGAATCTGCAGAACAAAATCTCTTTTCATGAAAAGCCCAGACAACTAAAAATGTACCCCATTTTTTTTCCCCAATAAAAACGCATTGCCAAACAAGCCTGAATCATCTGCTTGCTTTACAATGAGATCTTTAATAGAAATCATTAATGATCTATGGTTTCTTTCAGGGTTATTCTAAACTTTGAAAGCAAACCTAAAACTGTAAATTTTTCCAGGCTGGGATTCATCTGGAGCACTCCAGTTCATGTCTTCTATCCCGCCTCCAGCTTCCACTAAAACAGATAAAATCTTTCACTTTTGTGAAGGGTTGTGTGGAAGTTACTGGCACCACAGAGAAATGATGGCCTCTCGGGTATTTGCACCCGAAAGAACAAGCCACTTCTTGTTGCTCGTTTCTAAAGCGGAACAGTGGTGAGGAGAACAAGGACCACCTCTATCCCAGCACAGCTCCACAGCTTCCCCAAGGCAACGCCAGACGACTCCTCCCATTTCACCCAGTACTGTTGCCACTTCTGCACCACTCAATTGTTGTAACAAATAATCCACAAATGCCCGCTCCAGGACAAGAGCATTCTGCATTCACACCCTCACAACCTTCGCCTGCTACCACCATTATGCCTTGGGACCCACCTGCGCCCGTCTCCTCCTGCCAACACTGTGCTCTGCGTACAGACGACGGGGTATAAACGCCACGCTGCCCTGAGAACTGACAATGAGGATAAGGTACTTCAAAACAATAAGGAACAAACCAGTGCAGAAAAGTATCAGAGCAAGCAAGCCGAAATGAATCTCTGCAGTCAGATTATTCAAGGTCTTCTGATCAAGGTAAGTATTGAGACAGGCTCCCTTAACGACAACAGTAAAAGCACTGTTTTCCTCACGGTAACCTGCATGACCCTGCGACTGGCACGCTCAGTTACTCTGCGCGTGCAGCCGCACGGTGTGCCGCAGGACAAGACGGGTTACACAGAGCCTGCAGCTCCGACCTTCGCCACCTCGACTGCTCGTCCCAGACCTGTCATTAGAAATTTAAAAACCTGCCGTTCTTCAGCACTGAGTTCTGTTCTTTGAGGTCTGTAATGGCCTGAACGATTTGTTGGACAGCTATATATTTAAGGAGGCTTTAGAATGCATACATACACGGCGCTTTCAACTACAGTATACTATTTGTTGTTCTGCTTTACTTTAAGCACTCACCCTCCTCTGGACACAATGATTATTAGATAAAAGCACTATGTTAACAGGTAAGCTAGGCAGAAAACCTGCATCTTGACTTCCAGTTCTCAGGTTTGTTAAAGAAGTATTTAAACACACCGTACTCATGTGACAGCAAAACCCAGAGATGACTCAGATACTTAAGTAACATCTGTAGTTCAAATTAAACACTAAGACACTTCCATATTGCCATATGCAATCATTAGATCGTGTAGTTCACTTAACAGTCGCATTATGTGGCAAAACTTCCTTTTTTTTTTTTTAACACCATGGTATCACTTCAGTTGAAAAGAACTTAAATGGAAATTCCTTCCACAACCCCCAAGAAATCCAAACTGCTTAAATCTGTGTCCTGCAGCCCTTTCTTGTTCGCCTCACCAATAACAACTAGAAGGGGTTCAGCAATCCAGAATTATTATTGTAGGGTCTGTGGAAAATACACAGACCGAGTCTTGTCTGAACTTCACAGTGTGACATACAGAAACTTTCCTTTGACATACATAAATGTGCACTAATGAAGAGCTCTGTTAGGCTAACTCTTCAGCTTACAAAGTGCAAAATCAAGAACTGCATCTGCCCAGTATTTCGCTCGATGCCACAAACGTGCATCTTCCCCTCTGTGCTCAGACCTTCAGCCTGCGTTACACTCCAACCCTCTGCCGCCTGCAGCGGCGTTACTCTGACTTTCGGTGTGTATTCTGTACTTTGACCAAAACCTCCCTCCACTCAGAGAGTGACAGCACTCTGCGCTGTTTGTGAACGGTCACGTGTCAGTTCTCAACTCTTTTTGGCAAAAACACATTCAATGCAAGATTTTTCCTGCTGATTTTATAAGCATTTTCATGCAAAGCTCTCACAGCTAATCCTTTAACACCCTGCAGCAACGTATGACTGGCATTCACCGTTCCTTCCATCAACACGGACTCCACTTGCGTTACCTCAACGTATTTGTTGTTCCTTTGCTCCTGACTGAACCCCCTGGGGGAAACAGACCACCACCGACTTTGTACTTCTCCCTTTGGCTGCAGGTCTAGAAGACGCACTCAACTCTTCACAGAGCACCAGAACGGTGCCTTTGTGAGAGCTCCATTTCAGACCACACCGGTTTCGCACACAGCGAAGCTTTGCTTCTCATTTCACCCTTCTGTCCTACCCTCTAACGGATTCTTAAGTTACTTCTCTCAGCGATGGTATCAGAGTAACACCCTGCAAAGCATGGCCATGCTGTTACTCACTGGCTAGGGAGCTGGCCATCTCCAAGGCTGAGGCACAGTTAATTCTTGACCTGAAGACCCAAACCGGTAGCACGTAATAACGGCTACTTCAGTTTACAGAACTGCAACATCTGCATTCCATTTCCCATTATTCCTACACCCTAACCTCAAGGAAAGAGAACGACGCTAACGTGACATGGACTTAAAACCACTGAGTCCTCTCATGACAAGACAGAAGTAGGTTTGCGGAGGCTTTATTTTATTCCAATAAACATTTATTCCCGTATCTAGGGGGATATTACATGAGCTGCACATTCTCCTGCTCTGCCGCTCATTAAAAATGAGACAAGCTCATCACAGTTACCTCGCCTCGCTTTGGAAGCATCCACTTAGGACACAAAGAATGCAAATCAGCGCAGTTCAGAGGGCTGTGCTCCGTGTTACTGAGCTGAGCGCCAACACGGCCCACGACAAACAGAGGATCGTTTCTGCCAGAGCGCTCCTTTGGTCACTGCTGACGAGCTGCTTCCCCTCCATTTGGATTTAAACTTGCCAGACAGAAGCTGGGCGTTTCATGCTACCCTGACCGAGGCGGGGGGCAGCCTGTTGAGATGATCGGGTGAAAAACGACAGAAACAGTAACTGTTTACTTACTGAGTCTCCGTTCCCAGGAGCATCTCCACCTTCTCTCCTGCGTGGTTACTGAGGACCGTGAGCCTGAAGAGGTGAGCTGCAGAACTCTGCCGCGAGTAGAGCATAGCTGAAGCGTTCTTTACAGGAGAAGAAGTCAGCTCCTCACCATCACATTGTTGTACCACCAGCTGGTCCCTTAAAGAATAATCTGTGACGTTGTAACTCTCTTCACTGCAGAACAAAGGAGGGAAGGAAAAAAACAAACAACCCAAAAACCCACAAGTTTAACTTTCAGTTTTCCATTAAGTATGCCTGGAAGCAAATTCAGTCATAGAATCCACTTTTAGCTACACAGTATGGCACGATTCTTCTGACGCCTCAGATCTTCATCTTTTCTGTTTATTTGTTTTTGAAACTACCAATTTTCCAGGAGATAAAGTAGATCAGTTTTTAAACCCTGCGGAACTTTATTTAGCGGCACAGTTAATGACACTGTTAGATGGTGTAAGCTCAAGTCCACTAAATTTGAAACTAGGCACAGCATTTATATAGAAATGTGCTTTTTTCTTCTGTAATGAAGCTTCAAATAAACAACAGACCCTAATTTTAAAATGCTATAGGAAAAAAAAGAAGTAAAATTTCCCTTTTCCTGTGCCTGTAAAACTACAGGTACGTATACTACTTCCAGATAAACACTACTGATCTTCATTTTAAATACAGGATAATCATCTGTATTTCTTGTCCACCTGCATGCAGGTTTAGCCCAAAAACTATTTTGCAATATTCTGAAACGTAACCTTAAGTTAACTGTGAATTTTAAAAATAAGCAAAGGCTTGTCACACACTATTGGTCTTGCAAAATGCACTGTGCCATTTCTCTTTTGGAAGGTACTCTGTTAAGTAAATATACCAACTCTAAGTGATAGGAATAAAGATTGTGACATGTGCTTAATAACTTCCCAAAAGCAACTAGAAAGATTTCTAAGAAATTATGCAAGTTAGAAGATTCGCTTTCCTTATGGTTGAAATGTAGGTGGAGAGGTGGACAAAACATTAGACATCACAAATCAGAACATCAGGGTGTTACTGATTTTAACAACAGAAGAACTTAAATGAAAATACGCACTCTTCCCTGCAGAGCAGCCTCCTATTTCTAAGTGTGAGAATCACTTCAGCTAATCAAGATCTCCTTGACAGCTGAAAACCTGGCAGCATGTCTGGACAAGGCACACCGTCACGTACGACGGCGATAGGCGGTAGCAGGGAACAGTCACTTCAATCTCCCTGTTCTTCAGTCCATTATGATGTCTTTACGACATGTGCTTCAACTTCAGAATATCCAGACATCTTAAGCAGCATTCTTCAGCACTCTTACGTGAATTCAACCAGTTACCACATTGATCGGTTTTGCTACTTACTCCTTTCAAGGCAATACTGGAAATATGTTTCTTTCAAGTGGAAAATAACTGTGCATTTCCAAATTTTTAACGTCGTGAAACATAGTTAAACTAACTGTTTAAGAATCTACATCACTTATTCAAGGACTTGCAACTGATCACAAGGAAAGAGAAGCCAGCTGAAAAGGCCTTTTTGTTTCCACTGAGGCTTGTGAGTGTATTTCCCAGAACTGTCTTACGTGCATTTGCAAGTTTACCAGGATATATCACGAACCCAGAACACTGATAAACTAATTACCTCCTAAGTTCACGTAAGCTCGTAAACTTTGTCAGAGTTGTTGTCCTACACTGGTGCAACAAGATGGAAACAAGCTGCTTACGCAGGCATAAAGCCACTTCTCCCTCCTAGCCCATACGTTGCTCTGTGTGTCAAATTTTGCACTAAATCAAATTTTAAGGTGCAACTACACATAGTCCACTTTAAAGTAACATCTACTTAGACCTCAGGCTCCAGTGACGAAAAGCTATGCTACAGCCTCAGATTACCATGGTTCATTAAAATAACTGAAACTGAAAAAATACTTGAGAAGATTAATTTTGCTGCCAGATAGATACAGAAATCTAAGCACCGAACTGATACAAATCAAATCCCAAACACCTGGAACTGAAGCAGTCTGCAGTGCTGGTGGTGACATACCCCTTGCTGGCAGATGCAAATGAAGCGTACTCTTCCTTTACGGTTGCTCAGATATTGTAAGAAAATGGAGAGATGACGACTTTACATCTGTTGGGACATATTCTACCTATTTTGCAAACTGTCAGAAAAATACCTGTGAATACTGCGGTAGTTTAAATACACTGGCCTGTATAATTCTTATTTGTAATCCTTCAGAAAAAGAATTGCTAAAACACAACTGCGCAACATTATGACTCAAAACATAAATTACTGCAGATTTCTGTGACTCACACAGCGTTAGAAGAATTTCTCTATTCTTCAAGTGACTATGGGTTTACAGATCACATTGTATTTGTGGATTTTTTCAGATAAATAGTTTCTGCCAGTGCGTCTAGTGTAAAAGCAGCGTTTTCTTTCAACTAAGTGGGGTATGTTTTTACTTTTGTTCTGCAAATTAAATACTTGAAATGGGTTTTTTGCAGTACAGCTTTGTACGTTCTCAAACGATCAACACAGAACATGATACTAATGGAAGTACTCCTTCTCGCAAATATTCTTCCTTCTCGTCTTTTGCTGAGGAGGTTTGGGGGCTTTACAAAGGAAGCAGAAGCAACAACAGACAAGCTTAGTAAGATTTATCATATAGGAGGACTGAAATCACTGTAGCTCATAAGAAGATGAACATTTTTCTTCCCCGTTTCTTTTTCTCCAAGTCTCAAAACGGTACCAACAATTCCCCACAATCCGCTGGTGTTTTCCGCTCTGGGCTGGAATCACAACTCCCCATTTGGGTACCGCTGACAAAGGCACAACCATATCAACACTCCCAAGAGCACTGTTGCAAGAATTTACAATAGCTTTAAAAACTCTCCACAGAGTTTTATTAACCTTGCTTTTGATCAGACTGTTGTTTCCATGCTCCTTAGTGTAAAAAAAATTTAAAAATAAATCGCACAGAAAATGAGATGAAAACAGCAATGAAATGAAAAAATCATCTTATATCTACTCTTTATCAGTCTCTCCCACTTTTTCTTAAAATATATACTTTAAAACATGAAAAGGGTTGTTTTTGGGGGGAGAAGTGGGGGGAAGCATTTGGTGGTTTTTGTTTTGCCGGTTTTTGTTTCTCTGTTTGTTGTTTAAAGAAGTCAGTTCAGTATTTTAATCTGAGCAATCCCTGCTTAGCCATGGGTGGAACTAGCAAAACCAGGGATGATGCTATAGTTATTTGGGAATCTCGCATTTGAAAAAGAAATATAGCCTATACATTTGTGTAACACATAATAAATGCATTCCTTACTAGATTAATCAACAGAGATAAACCTCTACAAATCCTTCCTGTTTCTTATCTCCATCCAACAAAATAGTCTGATCCGAACCTAGTAGGCAGTCCTCCTCTCTTTACCCCCAGTGCCCCCTGTGAGGCCGACAAACTCTCCTCCTTCCAACGCAATAATGAAAACTGCTGATAAAGCTGGCAGTGCTGCAGCGAGCAGATGTACAGCAACAGAGACTCAATCCGTTCAGCCAGGCAGCAGTGTAACAGGAAGGCCATTTTTTAACACGTTCTTTAAAATTAGTGTAATCGGGCAATACAAACATGCCAACATTCACTTTCAGTTTAAGACGGAACTTTTTACTAAACTTCTGTTTAGATTCAGAACATGAAACAACAGGACTACTTTATATCCCTTCCCAGGGAATGCAGGCGAACTTTAGAGCCCCTTTAATGAAGACCAAGTATCTATTGATGTAATATCATCTGTTCTAGGCCACCTATACTTTAACAGAAAGCACATGGTCAGCGTCCCTATCGCCTTTACTCTTTCCATTGTATGTTTAAAACTGATACAAATCCTTCATGAATCTTCTTCAGCTATGTTTCATCACAGCTAAAGAAGCTGCCCTACTTGGAAATCCTTGGTGTTCCACAGAAGTTACGTTGCATTTGCGCTTGCCTTCAGTTACAAGATCACCCTTGGCACCTTTGAGAAAAACCCTGGTTTTGCAAGCAGCTGCAAACAGGTAACATTCCCAAGTAGCAGTGAACCTTTGGGTGACTTCCAGGGTATGAAGTCCAGCTGCATTCCACTGCCAAGGTATCTCAGGAGCTGACAAGCCATAGAGCCATTAAGACAGGCGGGATTCTGGTGGTATCCTTAGGGGATTATGGAAAACAGAATATTCAATAAACATACACTCATTCAAAAATATAAACCTCTCTGGAGTTCACCTGTAATCGTCTAAAAGCGCTCAGGATGTAACTAGTGGATTTTCTGAGTAGTGGGATAAGGCAGCTCTTTAGTTGTATATAACAAAACTTTATTAATTCTGAGTTCTCCTGAACTCTGCAGAACACAGAGCTAGCTCACAGGCAGCTTTGAGCATTAATAACTAAAATATGTAACCAGATCTTTGCAGTCCCAGGAGGGCATGTGGAACAAAAGGAGGCATTTGATTTTTGGTAGATTTCAAAGCTATCTGTATCTTATACAGAATATTCTTACAGAATATTCTTACAGTGTACGCTTCCAAGCCTGTAAAAGGAAGGGAGAATCACCTCCTCTGTAGCCTGGTCCTCTCCTCTCCTCTGGCAGTGGTAAACTGTCCACTATAGAACCTCCACCATGCACAGCAACAGACAAATATATATCTAAACCTAGCAGTCACGCTCATCAGCTGTGCAGGAGAGGTATGGATGATACTTGTACCCATACTTTCGTTTAGAAGAGGGAGAAAACTGAAATACTCATTATGCAGGAAATGAATGCAAACATAAAAGTAGTATGTGTATTTAAACTAAGTATTCTACATTTTGATAAAGCACTCATTTCATCGTACTTTGTGGAATCTGGAATAGTTTCTTCACTACCCAACAGAAAGCACATCTCCCAAGCACGACACAAGTAACAACGGTACCGTAGTGCATGTGGATCATGAGGCAGCCTGGAAGAGCAACTCTAAGAGATGAATTAAGTTGCATGTTACTCCTTATGTCAGAATACTACCTCCAAAATCCAATGTTGGCATAAGGTATTGACTTACTGGTCCCTGTAGTGGATGTCATGGCCAAAATGGTGGCAGTTCACAGTACAGCAAGTAGATCAGTACAAAAAGAACAGAAGCCAGAAAACGAGCAAAAAGAGAATGAAGTTAAAGACTGAAACAAAAGGGTAAAACACTACCACAAAGCTGATGTAAGAACAGCAGATGAAACATTTAGGTTACTTGAAGTCAGTCTACACCTAGATCTTTGCAGAGTATTCACAATGCTTAACTTCACAAATTTCCAAGTTAACATCCCAGAGCTACCCAAACAGTCAGAGAAAGAAAGATGCTCTTGTAGAGGGCAATTTTGACAAGCTGAATTAGGCTGCTACTTGAAACTGCTCTCCAAAGGGAGGCGCCTTCTCCGCCGACTGCACGGGGAACCCTGGAAGAGTACGTTGAGCCGTCCGAACATCACCCAGCTCTTCGCTTCACGCCATAATCCAACCATCATCCGTGTTCACACGACCAAGAATTAACTGGTATCTTCCTGTGCACCAACCATATAAAAGTTGGCCTTTCCACCAAGATCTGGAGATCCTGACGCATGCTAGCACTGACTGTTCTTTTCAAGGTAATGCTTTAAAACTTTACAAGTATTAAGAGAGTCTATTTTTTTTTAAATGACATTTTTTAAAAAATCAGATTGTGTCTACACAACAGAAGGGGCTACAAGAAAGGACTACTGAACAGGAAAAAAGTTCCCAATAAGCTAAAAGCTGAGCCATGGGGAAATGCGGATTTTTATTCTTCTCCAAAATCTTCTGTAGGATGACATACATCACAAGTTCACATGTCCCTTTTTGGCCTAATCCCAATGACCAGTCTTGAGCAGTATTCAGTAGCTGTTGGCCTTACCTCTTCCAAGGTCAAGTGTGATGAAGCAACTGACTACCCTGCTGCTTTACAGCACAAGAATCAGAGCCTAAATGATTACCAAGGTATCTGTAACACATGCAAAAATGGACTGTCCAGTAGCTGACATGGAATGCATAAGCCTCTGAAATATTTCATAGTGGCATGAGATATGGTCACACAGTGTCCCTTAAAAAGGAAGAGATCTTGCTGGCTAAATTCCATTTAACCTACTTAATGGATGAGAGAAAGCAATTAAACCTTGCAATTTACTCAGGAGGTGAAATTGTAGCTGAGGAAGACTATGGTGAATGAAATATCAAAATTAAAACATAAGAACTCTGGAGCATGCCTGAGTATACACCAACACAAGACCTCCCTTTATCTTTTTTACAGCTAAAATTTAACAGTTGTTATTGTGAAAAGGTTTCTGGAACTCTCTCTCACTCAGTATTAAACCTGCAGTTCTTCCAACGGTGATCCTGACATTTGGGAAGTATCCCTGCCGTGAGGGTGTGAGCAGTGAAGCACACGGTATCTGGTTGGACTGGAATTACTTAACGGTCACCAACATGACTTCTCGGGCAGGTACCACTGAGCCTGGCCTTTCTGAAGTCAGGATGGAGCCTCTGCCAGCTGCATGCGCGAGGTTCTACATATACGGCAAACTGCTCAGGCGCAGGATAGCTGAAGATTAACTTTTGGGTAAAGATTCAACAGTGTGATTGGAGCACTAAGTAATTAGTATTTTTAGCACAGTAGTGAGGAATGATTTTTGTGTGCCATGTTAAGAATCTTCTGAAATGCAACTGGCTCAAGTAAAAATATAAACATTTAAACTCAACTAGCAACAAGTATTTCTGTCCACTGCTGTGGCGTCCATGGTAACACTGTGGGTGGGAGAACAGATGACCAAAGGCTCAAATATTATTAATAAGATTATTCACTTGGGCAAAGAACATGCTTCATGCTCAGAATATCTGGGAGGCTCACAGAAATTTGTCCTTTTCAGTCACATCCATTTGGTTAGGGAGTCTTGGGAGACTGACCATGTGAATCTGATCATTAACATGATCCGATGCTCTTTAATTTTGCCTTCTGGGCCCATTTAGGACATTTCAATTCCAACAGCTGGAAGCTGTTATAAATCAAAAGCCCCGAAGTTTGGGTAAGATACATTATTATAAAAATCTCTTTTATAATCTGGACAACAAGCCATCACATAGGAAACCAATAAACAATGTAACAACACGGACAATAGATTTTTCCACTGTTTTCCCAACTCAAACATTTACTTAGCTACCAACACAATAATATGCTAACAGTAGCCCCATGAGAAAAGAAACGCACTGTTTAAAAAAGCGCGATACAACTCTGGTGTGTTGCCAGTAAGGCAGTGATTTAACAAGGGACTTTCACAGAAACATTTCAGCATAAGCTTTGATAAACACTGGATCTCAGAAACATGTTCACATCAGTAAGATAGCTGGGGAGAAATCTACTCACTTTTCTTCCCATCTTTATAAAAAAACCCAAATCCCTTTGCTTAAATATTTTTCCCCCCTCCATTTTCATTTAGCTTTCTCTTTGCTTAAATATTAGCATTTTCTTCCCAGATTTTATACCATACCTCATTCCTCAAAATTTATTTAAATGATGGATTTGAAGTTTCACAGAAGGGTGTCTTCTAAAAATAGCTGGTATTTGGCCTAACTGGCCAACCCAGATGCAAAATAATTCTTCTTCAGAACAGTCTTTAGCTTCAGGAATAAGGTTTATCTATCAAGTATTATCTAATAGCAGCAGTGGCGGATGTAAATTCCATTCAATTCAATTATACTAAACCTCCTCTCAAATCTAGTGATAAAAATTTAAATGGCAACTGCCAGAAGTTGTATCCCACACATTGTTCTCAAAACCAATCCAACTGTGGCAAGAGTGGAGGAGAATGAAAATTACTAGTTCTTTATCCTTCCAAAACTTCTCCCTTTGCTAAGGCATCAAGGATGAACTTTTTAATTTGTTTGACAATTTGGAATTTCAATCATGTTTGCCAAAAATAAATCCTGTTTAACAAGTAGTTACTTGTCATTTCTAAACACAGTCTGACAGAGCAGTATTAGAAACTCAAACAATTAATTTACTCTCTCCGACATCACATATTAAAACATAAATGGCTTTACAAATGTTTACTGGACTTAAAACATGCTTAGTCCATATTTCCTCCTGTTTTATGTTGCAAACGTACCAGGTCCACTTACTTCTCTTTGAATCTCCTTCATTCTTTCCAACAAGCAAGTGGCTAGAAAACATGTAAAAACGCTGTGGATGCAATCAAGTTTGCTGTTCCAAAGCCAGAAAGCTTTGGTTTTCATTTCCTCTAGGGTGAGGCACACGTAACAGTCATGGTAATTTTAAAAGACCAAGATAACTCAGTTGTTCTCTCTGCGATTCAAGGAGTTGAACACAAAAAGTTCTTACCTCTTCTTCTTGGTGATAATGAGGACATCGTTAAAGAGGAAGAAGTACACTTGCTGCTTAGAAGTTCTTTTAGAAAAGAGTCCAGTGTCCTCCACATATGCTGTTAATTCACCCCTTTTCACTAACCATCGTGAAGAGGAAACCAATGGAAATGGCTACAAAGCAACAAAATAACATTTTAATCCTTCAGAAGTAGATATTTTTAAAAATCAGGTAACAGTACTATCTATTTGGGAAAAAAATACTTGAATAAACTCAAAGCTCAGCCATCATGAGTACAAGCATAAAACATAGGTTATCAAGGTTTAAGGTGTATTATATGAATGATGAAGAGACAAGTAATAGCCTGCAAATACTTGAAAATCACTCATGCACATGACATAATTGCTCATCATAGGCAAAAATGAACAGACTTGACTGGTCATACTTGGGATGGAACGGACTATGCGAGATCTCCTAAGAGGATTAAAAATAAAATGACTGTGTTCCAGGAATATGTAAGTTTTTGTAGAGCAAGCAATCATTCTTTAAGCACGCAGGAACACTGGATTTTCGTCTAGGTACCTCACAGCTTTTCTACCTAAACAGTCGGAAATAAGAGCTTCAGCTTCTTATCTCAAATGTGAGGGCCACTGCACACTGCGTTTCATCACATCCCTAATGCCAGTTAAAATGACGCTGTACCTTCTTTCTGATGGCGTGTTCTGTACCACGCATAGGGAAAAAAAAAATAAATGTAAAAGCCTTTAACACAGAAATCCACTGTACAATCCACTTTGAAGTATTCTGTATGTTAAAACAGACACAAACAGAGACAGCATACAAGATCAGATTGGTCCTAATACAGTACCGCACATTATTACTGAGATCTTCAGAGTATGCAGAATTTTTTTTTCCATTAAAAAGCGAGGAATGCCAGAAGGCTTAGCCATCAAATGTGGTAACTTCCATTTTCTATTTTGTAAGTAAACTGAAGTTCCAACACAGCTCTGTGAAAGAATGTGTAAAGCAGTATGTGGTATGTAAGGTTTTAATTAGCTGTCCATTCTAATGCCAAAACAATAATAGTTTGCTCATGACATCATAAATTCACCAGTGGTTTGCAAGACACCTCTGAAAGTTTTTAGAGGACATCTCTTCAGGTATCCACTTATGAAAGGCCATATTAACAAGTAACTGTCCTTCCGCAGGGGGAACTTCAGCTTTTTCCGCGCCCCCCATCTCCCATTTTGTCAGAAAATGGCAACTCTTACATTTGACCACAATTGCTTTGTAATTTGCTACTGCAGCTGAAGGGGACGGGCAAGTCAGACACGTGCTCCGGGCACGCTGCTGTAATGAGGTGTAGGCTCAAGCTCGTTAGAGCAGCCTCTCATCCAGAGGTGACAACCCACTGTGCGTACATACATCACTGGTTCCCAGAAAAGTCAGTCAGGTTTGCATAAACCTTCATCCCTCAACTTCTCAGGTGTTGGCAGAATCATTCTCCCAAGGTAATTACCATACCAAACCACTCACCTTTTTTTCCCCTTGATAGCAGGAAGGCAAGTTTTCCACATACTTGCTATTCTCATTAGGAGCTCTTGAAATATCATACAGTTATCTGTCCACTATCATAGCTTTATTTAAGATGGATAATTAAGGATACTATAGCTCCTCTCACTCTATCTCACTGATGTAGCTGAACTCTAAATGTTCTAATGATCTCCATTTCTCTCTAGGGTGAGGACAAGCACCTGCAACAGCTGAAGCAAGCCAGAGAGGACCATAGCTGCCTCATGTGAATGAAGACCAGGCTTTATTAATCTGCATTATTCCCAGCTGTGGGAGAAAGAGATACCATAGAAGGACCTTTTGTTTCTCTGGGCCATGAACATGATGGGAGATGTGAGACTGCATGTCCTGGTCATAGAGAGAACAGACCATCTCTGAAGCTGTACCATGACACGTGCTGCCAGAAAGACAAAGGTCCACTGCAGTGCTGGCAGCTGTCCCATGGACCAGGGTTCCTCAGTCAATAATCTCACTGACTGTTGCTAGCACCGAACCGAGCAGAGCCGGGTTGTGGGCATGTTTCCACACACTGGGCAGGTTCTTTCTGCTAGCCTGTGCTGTCACTGGGCAATATTCTAAGCACAGATACTGACCTCCTCCATAGGTTTCACCCCTCATCATTAGAATGACCTGTTTGGGTCCTAACTTGAATACTGGAAGTGCTGGTACTCTAGTCTCTATGCACCTTGCACCTTTGGGTACTCCCCACCTGCTGGACAGAGCATCTGAAGATGGCTGGTACCAAAAAGGACCATGTTCACTGGGTAACTCTGGCAAGCAAAGCCTGAGCTGCACAACCTGTACCTTACAGGTTCTGTAGCAGGAGGTACATGGTACCAGCGTAAAAGAAGAGGCATCCGCTTTGCTCATGCTTACTAATATCTGTACCTAAGACCTGCCACAGTAAATGGGTGCTTCCTGCTAAGTTTTATGGAGCTCATATATTTTTCTTAATCCCAAGCAAAATAATGCAATTTTTGTTTCTACTTTCAATGTAACTGGCTTTCTGCTTATCAAACTTCCCTACTTTGCTGTTCTTCAAATTCATTATCCGTCTTGCAGGATTAGGCTAATGAAGACAACTGCTCTTTCCCCCCTTATTTAAACCACCTTTCACATGCTTGTAAAAAAGTCTTTCTTCATTACGTTTGTCAGCTGTCTTCATTCTGCACAGGTTGTCTTTTTGTATCTTTTAATCACTTTAGCTGCCCTTTACTGAGCTAACTTCAACTTGTCAATACTTGCCCCATAGTACTATGCCAAAACTAAAATATAGTGTTTTGACTGTGATCTTGCTGTTGGAAGAACAACATATTAACTCCCTAATTTTATGTGCAGCCACCCTCTTGTTTTTGAATTTTAAGGTTATGATTTTACTGTGACTCTTAAATGGCACACAACAAAACAATTTTTCCAAAGATGCTTTTTCTGCCACCATGTAGTACCACAGCACTCCCTTCCTCCTGCTTTCCCTTAGGAGGTAAGGTACAAATGGCAGATGAAGGTTGCTCAAAATCGTGAAGTGTAGCAGCCCTCTGGAAGTATTGCAAATTGTGGCAAATTAAAGAAGCCTTAAACTTTTCACCTTGCCCTAGATTGGTTTAATGTCCCACTGTACCCAGAACAGGCAGTCATGAATGTCCACCCTCACTTGCACACCGACAGCCACTGGAACAAAACCTTTGCTATACTGTAGACCTACATTAGGGACCTGGTAAAACCTGTGTTCTTTCAAAGTGACTACCGATAAATACCAACATATTTCACTTGTCTGCCACAATTGCGAGTGTTTTTGCACTCACACTACCGAGCTAGTATTGGTGTATTGAATCTTGATGAAATTCCCTTCCGACACTTCTTCCCAATTCATCTAAGCTCACATATTCTGTTTTGATTTATATGACTTTTGTGCAGGTTTCTAGTTTTGTATTACCCATTAGTTTATTAAATGCATTTTCTACTGTATTCTCCAATTTGGAAATGCAGAATTTTGTTTCAAATCTGTATTTCATAAATAGATTTTTACCCAAGTCTGTTAATGAACTGGAGTAAATCAATCTGGTTATAAATCACTGTAACTTCAAGTTCATTAACTAACACTGTCACTCATCTCAGAGCAGTGGCTAACTTAAATTTCTATCAATCCAACTTTATTACTTTCTCCTAGGACTGAATCATGTAATTTTTGTTAGGGATGGTCATTTTATCAAAGACACATCATTAAATCTCACAGACTATGACAGGCCAGTTCAGCTCAGTACTCAGATATGACCCTCCCAGAGGAACTCCCAAGCTCCATCACTGAAATCAAAGTTTCATATCAACATTCAGTTTTAAAAAATTTGGTGTACTGTCAGTCAAAACTCTGCTGGTTCAGTACCTTCAAGTAACATGAAAATTAATTTTTTAAACAAATGGCTTTCACATTTCCTGACATGCAGTAATGGCTCCACATGACAATAGCGGAATGTGAAACATCGGCCTGTACCCTAACAGCTACATCATCATGCTTTCTGTGACTTTACAAAATTGGGAGACTTTGGGCTAGACGGTTCTTGAACATAGGTGTCACAAACAAGTTTGTTACATGAACACAAAAGTATGTTTGCAGAAAAAACACACATTTTTTTCTGGTGCTAAAGATGAAAAATTTAAGAATAAAAACTTCTGAATCTTAATTAAAAATTAAATTCTACAGATTAGCCATGTGCAAAAGTGACATAATATTTGAGTAGCTTCTCTTGTACTCCCATGAAATACTCTACAGTTACATCTAACAAAATAATAAAGTCAAACAAAAATCCCAAAACACTCGGTGAGGTTGAGCAAGAACAGAAATAGTTTACCTAATTTATAATGGTTATAAAACAGAATTATAGCACCATGATTATTGTTTTACAGACAAAAAAAGTACTTCAAAAATTTCTATTTAGGGACTAAAAATTCTTCTGATCTGTACTCCAAGTGAGTTTATCACATTTTCCTAATTGACTGTATTTCAGAGGCAGCTTGTGTTTATTTTAATATTAATTTTTCCTTAATTGCCAAAAGAGTACATCATGTATAACATCTCCTTTTTATATAAAACAAGCTGTCAGAACTTAAAAATGTGTTGAAACATGGCCAAAGCAGTCTTTTATATGCCAGCTGGCAAGCTCTCAAACCACAGATAAGGTCTAACCACTAAATAGTTATGTTTAAGATGCACAAAGGAAAAAAACTTGCATAAAAAAAATACAGAATAAAATACATAAAGTTGCTATTACTCCCCTGAAACTAGTGAGAGGTGCTAGTTACAGCGGGTACAGAGAGGAATTATACAGGGCCTCTCGCTTCTGCAAAGTCGGGATCAATAGTGTGCATCCGCTTCCTACGGGGAAAGTAAGAGACTATAAACCATTTAAGCACTTAGCACTGTTAGGTACTTCGGAAGATACGAAAACTACAAATGAAACCACAGAGCAGATCGCCCAAGGACTTCAGACTATCCAAAACTCTCTTCTAGACTATCCAAAGGGTTGATAGTATTTTCACCAGTGTTAACAAATGCAGGGATGTCACTTCTTAAGAAGTGTTTTGTTTATTGTTATTATTGTTGTAAGTAAATATTACTGTTTTCAGGTTTTAGTCAAAGTTTGAAAATAGAAATACTTTAGCCAAGTTGAAAAACATCTTTCTGGAGACAGCATTTCCTCAAAGACTGACCAAGATCCTTTAAAGAACTGCGTTTTTAAAAACACGAACCTCTACTTAACTACATGTATCATACTAAAAGAAAAAGAAAAAAAATCTTCTCACAAAGGAATACTCATTATGTAACAGTACAAGATATTGTTTATAGAAATCGTATTTTAACAAACACTGAATAGGAAAAAGTAAATGTACTTGAAGAAGCATCTTTTCTTCGAGTACAAGTTTTTTTTCCCCCGATCAAAAAGATAGATTGTAGAGAATTTTTTTTAATAAAACCCTAAATTCTATTTTCAGTACTAGAAAGAAAAAAATTTGGACTATCTCAGTATCCTAAGACTCTTTAAAATTATTTCAGGGTTAACAACACCTGTACTGGCAAGACAAAAACTTGGGATTATTGAAGCGAACTGTATTAGTTAAGGCGTAGTTTAGCTTAAGTAATTGCACCTACAGTGAAGTCTGCCGTTGCACAGCTCGCTATTCCAGGCAGGTATCACAGGATTTTGGTTGCACAGCCGATGCTGCCAAATTACTATTGTAGGCAAAGCAGGGCCGACACGCTCAGCTCTAGGGATAGCGACGTATTCCACACCACGGCCTCCTTCAACTGGGAGCTCCGTGATATTTCAACTCCAGCGCTGTCTTGCTCTCAATCATCTCCCACAGAAAGGATGACTCCTCAAACCAACAGTTTTTACAGCAGACTATCAGAATCTTGTAGAAATAGACTGTAATTTCAAGAAACAGGTCCTAAGGTGACCAGAAACTGGCCTGGTTTTTTTATTTCATGCTGCTGTAAAACCAGATAGTCAAATACTATTTAGGCCAGGGAAGGATCCTAATAGTATTTACTTAGGCATACTTTTCCTATCATGTACATGAGAACATCTCATCACGAAGAAGCAGCAGTTAGTCTCTCTCCTAATGGCAAAATCTTCACAGCAACTTAGTCTTTACAGCACAGAATACTTAATTCAATATATACTAAAGAACTGTTCTGCTGTAACATAACCCTTCTACTTAAAATGAAAATACTTGACAACAGTTTAAATTTTTATCCTGCCACGACAGATCACTTCTTTGCAAGAATTACTGTGATATGAGGACGCTATGAAAGTTCCACTGTATACTCTATCAATTATAAATACTAATTCACTCTTTAAACCATTTGTTCAACTGCAATCAGAAGTCTAAGCAAAACTTCAAAACTATCTATAGCTTACAGAAAAGAGTCAATTCACCTGTGATGAAATTTACCAGAACTTGTTCACACACCGCCAGACAACGTGCCAAAATGAGAAAGAAGTGCTTCACAATGCAATACCTCCCCCAGAAACATTTCTTTAATCCATCCAACAAGTTCCCGTTCTACAAGAGACTTCAACAGATTACTCAGTTAACCAGGTGTACTGTTCAACGACATGGCCTCCATTTGCAGCAGAGAACTGCAACGATTCTTGTACAAATGAGAAGTGATGTTGTGCATTCTTCTGCTTTTGTTTTATGTGAGGAGGAAAGAGAGAGATAAAAAAGCAATTCAAACTCTGACAAGCCTTGAGGAAGTGAATGACAAGAAGGATGGACACAAAGGCAGAGCAAGGTGTGATTCTGTGTGTGAGCTGTGACAAGACCATCATGCACATTGTTAAGAATTACATAAAATAGCAAAAAACTGTACCGTGACTGATACTACTAGGTACAGTCACTCCAACATGGACAGGGTTTCATCCACAAAAGGTAAACCCAGAGTCTGGACATACCTCATTCTTCAGTAATTAACGCTAGTTTATTCTTTTTAAAGATATATATCCCAATACTCTCTCTCCCTGAAGCTTAATCTGCTCAGTCAGATGCAACAGTCCTTAGTTACCCTCTGAGTTTCCAGGGCTTTAGCTACCCCAGAATATGAACTTGTCTTCCTTGACTGAAAAGTCACGTCAATATTACAGCCTAATTTACTTTGTTAAGTTTTGCTAGGTTCATATGCTAGGTTCATATTCATATGCTACATGATGTATAGTCAGAAATGTTATCAGCATACCTTGATTTTAAATTCCAGCTGGGAGTTAATTGTGTACATCATTTCTGTCCTTTCCATTTTCCGAGCACCTTCGTTGCATAAACGCACCAGCTAGAAAGGAGACATTTAACAGGTTTAACATACTCTAGATTCGCAATACAAATTTTTGTTCCTTTATAAAATGCACTTCTGGGGAAGTATAAAATTGACAGAGGAACTGACATTTTCACACTGGGTCACAGACACAATGTTTTCAAGACCAGACTGAATGCAGCCCTGAGTGACCAGGTCTGACCTGATAGCCAGTTCTGCCTTGAGGCTGGACTGGATGACCTCCTGAGATCCCCCTCAACCTGAATAATCCTGCAATACTATGGTAATTATTTATTCTTCAGAGGAGTCCAGATGGTACCAAGGGTCAGCCCGAAGTTCTGACTGAGAAGGGTTACAGCCCTCTGATCCAAGTTAATGATCAGCTCCAAAACACACAGCCTTCCAGACTGACACATCAGTGCAGCGAGCTGCCATGCCTACCATGCACACCCCACTCAGTCGCAGAAGTCCCAACACAAGCATTACAGTACCATCTTGTTAAACCAAGGCAAACAGCATCCCAGAAAAAGTTTCATTGCAGCTGACCTTCAGAAGGCAATTCTAAAGCATGCTGCAGTTTTACTGAAGCCTGCACATGGGGGTGAGGAGCACATTAAAACAGAGGGGCAAAGACAGAAAGGCATGAAAACGTATTCCCCTTAACCCCACAGCATCATGCATGGATTTCCCAACCACCAACAGGTCTTTTCTCCTTTTATAATTGAACACTTTACACACCATACACTGTGCCTACTGAATCCAATTGTGTTGGCAGCAGTACAGTGTTGCTGAGGTTAGGGTATTTTCCTAAGTAATAAACAGACAGCAATTTAGGCATAAAAACGATCCCTAGTGGCCTTTCTTAAACAAACAATTTAGAGTTTTTATGCTTTGGTGCTCTTCCCGTTTGCATTATTTATGCATGGAAAACATTTTTCCCTTAAAGTAGACAAGAATGTTCAAGGCCCAAGGTAATGTCTAGCCCCAACGTGCAGAGAAAAGATTTTTTTTGTTTTAACAAAGAATGCCCAGTACTTCACATTTCACAACAGCCTATGACGCAGTATAGTTTCTGAAATTCTGAGATCTTGGAGGCAAAAATAGCCAGTTCTTAGATCCTTAGGTTTTCTTTTCATACCACAATGTTCTGTTTTAAAGAGATGTCTATTTCCAGAATATAAATGTAATAAACAGATGGACTGGAATTTCCCACCAATTTAAAAAAGGTTGGGAATCTGATTGGTCAGGCTCAAATGGAAGGAACCGGAATTTACCATACGTGGAAGTGCTGTTGAAATTACAATCTACGCATGGAAAATGGACTTGTGCTCTTCCACCACCACCATTGATTCTTGGCAAAAAAGCATGACTACAGGGGAAGAGAACAACTTTGAACAACTGACAGAAGGTCATCTGGTTAACTTATAACAAAAGCAGAAAAAAACCGCTTAAGTTTGCTTAGGAGAGTCAGACTTTCTCTACTGTCAGGACAGTGTTTTGGCCTTTTTTGTATATGGTCCACCATACTCTTTCTGTTGGAATGACTGGCAGCCAACAGAATACGTTTGTCCAACTACACAATGAAACAGGTGAACAAAATGAGTTACAAACATGAAAATTAATTCTCATGTGACTAACAAAAACCAAAAGCAGCCACTTCTCACAGTGAATTTGTGAAATGACAAAAGCATGCAGTGCAATTTGGGAAGGAAAACAGTCAAAGCAGAAAAAATTCTGCATCCAGATTAAACTTTTAAGAACATACCTTGCTCACTTCTTTCAGAGCTTGCTTGCAGTTCTCATACTTTGATGAATCCTTAGGAGTTTTCTGACAAATAGTCTGAAATAAAATGTCAGTTACTTCAGAGGACTAAGAAGCACAGATCATAACAAACACAGAATTTTAAATACATATTAATTGAAATGAAGTGAAGTCACAGCTGTGGACTGGGATAAATGGGGGAACACTAGATCACTTCTCCAGAGTGCTCTGTCACACTAAGGAATGCCTCCCTTGAAAGCTTTTGGGAGCAAACCCATGTTCTGCTCCTCTTGGCCAACCTCCCCATCTATGGCAACACAGTGGAGGAGGCAGGTGGTATCTTTCCAGGAAAGGGAAAGTTTCTGTCATCTTGTCTCTAACTGCAAACCATAAAGAAATCCCATTGCAGCCCTACATAAATCAGGTTCTTCCTGTTTCAATGTTAAGCTTTTCCTGGAAGTTGAAATACCCATTTATGTACAACTGTACTTGCAATAAGAAAACAGCAAGAGATTACTGTGACCTCTGTGGAAGTTACAGATTTCCAAAGGATTAACAGAAAAGGCTCTTAAGGTTACACTGTTATGCGTACCATGTAACTGTACTATTTTATTAAAACAAAAAAAGCACATGGAAGAGAAGACAGCTGCAGCATCCAAACAGAACCAGCACTGGAAAGTAAGCTTACACATGACAGTTGTATCTATTGACAGAGTTTATATGTGAGTTAGGAGGTGAAGATGAAGTCCTATCAGAAACAGGCGTTTTGAATCAATCACTTTTTTGATTGAGAAAAAAACCATCGTAAAATATTTTAATTAAACCAAAGACTAATGCTCCCTCCTCTTTGAATGTAGTTGGAGCCTTAGTTCTGGTACTGAAGCCTTAAAAAAAAAAAATTCACTTTGAGGTCTCAATATAAGGTTTACACAACCATCTCCAAGAAAAACAAACCAAACTGAAACAGTGGAAAACAAAATGCTTGGTTTGGGTATTTAGAAGCTTTTGGTCAAAGAAGGGAAGGAAGTGAAGAAAAGAAAAAAAAAAGACAAGAAGGGGAAAGCACACCTAGTGACACACCAAAGCAACACTGAATTATGATGCCATTTTTTTACCTAGAAATGTACTGCAGAGAAGAGAGTATTCAATGTCCATGAATGAACTAAGTAACTATCCAGATGATCAAATGAACCCGTGCACATTTTGCAAATATACAGGAGAACAAAATTAGTAGTCCTGTTTCTGGATCCTACCAGTGTCAGAATCTCAGCCTGGATTTTAATCTGCACTATTGCTGGTGGTTCAGCTCATAAATTTAGTTTCAGCATCTTAACTGAAATACCATGAATCTCGGTGTAGACTTTGCTTCACAAATATTCACTTACACTTCACACTTCTTAGTCATCCAGTAACCTGCACAGGAAGGGAGCACCTCACAGTGTAACACACTGGTGGGAAACGGAGTATTTTCAATACCGCTCCACTCCGGAATAGCTCCCATGCCCTTGAGAACAGAGTTCATTCTTCAGGGTTACACTGCGACCCTCTCAACGGAGGGTCTTTAACGATCTTGTCCCTGAAAGTAAGTACTTACTCAAAAGGATCCTTACCTAATCTGTACGATGGAAAGTCTTGGGTTTTAAACTGTCAGGTTTAATTGTAATCCTAACACTACATAGCATTTTTATGCTGGGTTCCTCCTTGGTTTCAGAATAATTTTGTCCCTTTACTGTACAATTTTTCTATTATAATGCCTAAATATTTAACTTTTGAATGGGGGATCAGGAGCAGGAGGTACCAGCCACAGCAAGCAAACAAATGCTGCAGTACTTCATAATCAATGGACCAGTATCTACTACGCTGCACCTGTTACCAGCAAGAAGATATGAAGAGACCAGAATAAACTAGGAACTAAGTATGAAAGAATGCTAACACTAAAAGAACATGCATCAAGGAAAAAATAGAAAAGTAACTCTGTTCTCACATCCATCAGTAGGGGAAGACGAGTAACTCTCTGCATAGGAAGAATGAGGAAAGAGATCATTGGTAGATTCCGGCAATCTTCATGGGACTCGATCCGTGATAACACCTCTTTAAATGCTGGATTTGTGGCTCTGGTGGGAAAAATGGGGAAAGAATTAAATGGTATGTTTTACAAAGAATTGTGAGAGCTGCTAGATTTTAAATAAATCATGATTTTACTAATAGGAAGGGGTGATTTAAAGGACTCGTATCAACTAAGCCTTCAGCTTTATTTACTTAGATATGCAAGACCAATATTGACATTTAGAAACCTCAAGTTCTCCCATACATGAACATGAGTGCAAACAGCCTCATATGTAACATACAAGGAAAGTATGTCTTTGACATGGAATAAACTGTACTTATCAAGGGAAAGGGAATGTAACACATGACCACAAATAGGAATGAACTATGCAGCCAGGCGTACTTTCACTCTCTATTACTTCAAAAGAACTTGTAGGTTAAGGAAAGTGAAGCATGTAAGTACACGCTTAGTTGGAAGCCATAGGTTTTGCACTAAATACCACAGCCTACTACTCACTCCTACTACAAAAGGGGTGATTTTGCAATCATATTTTAAAATTAGTTCTTACAGTAATTTCTGCAGTGTTCGTTGCTGATAGACTTCATTGGTGCAGTATTTTACATACGGATCAAACGTTGAAGAAGTATGCTTTTCAACTATATCACTAATATCATCAATAAAGATGTTGTTCTGATGTCTTGCTTCAAGTTCATTAAAGAACCTGTGAAAAAAGAAATTACTTGCTTTTACAAAAAAATAGCAGACTCTCAGACATTTTACACTTTACCTGACACAACCCGTGACTCTGATAAACTAATGACAACTGGAATGGTTTGTGAAAGGGTGAGATCATCTCTCCTTTGGCAGAACACTAAGGGAAATCTTTATATGATGCAAGTCAAAGGGTGGTGGTGTCACCTGGCAGAGCCCAGCATAAGCAATGCTGGCAAAGTTACTTCCCATTCTCTAGCTGCCAAAACCGAAACAGCAGTACTGATCTGGTTAGACTAGAATTTCCAGAAGCAGGGTTGAAAAAGAAATGAAACAACTTCAAGCACACATGAACACATTTCCTCTTGTAATAAAGGAAATACAATACCAGAAATGTTCAATGAAATAAAGTTATGTGTGAACTGCTAAACTAAGAACAAAAAAAGACATAGCAAGCTGAGCTGCACAAGGTGTTTATATACTTCAATCTACCACTGAAACCAAACACAGACTGGAAGCAGTGAAAATGGAAACAGAAACCAAAATCCTGAGCTGACTTCTTCCCTAAACATGCTGTTCTAAGAACTTCCCTATTGTTCGTCCTCTGTTCCACATGCAAGTTCCTTTGGCCTCTGAAAGCTTTCCACTCCTTTTCGCATTTCTGGTTTTACCAGAAAACAAAAGCCTTTATTTCCGTGATGCTCATTAGCAGTATCTTACTGTTTGGGGTATAGGAGCTCACACAGGTGAGCTATTACAGGTCATTAGAATTACCTACACTGACACGCTGACAGCAGTGCAATCCTCAAAAATCTAGAAGTTGCTGAAAATCTCTCATATACTAATCTTGCCTGCAGCCTTTATACGAGATGATTCACTAGAAGAGTCCTGAACTCCCCAAACCAGCTAATAAAAAAATTCTCATATAGCAGACAAAAATTAAGGAAATACTTGGATCACACATTACACACCAAGCTAAAATATTTTGAAACTTATTTTATTTTGGCCCTTTATTACATTTTTGTCATTACTAACACTAGCTCTTCAAGATCTATCACCTTGCAGCACTTCTTTTTTTTCAGTGCACCACCAATGTTCTCCCCAGCTTGTTTTACAAACAAACCTCAAAGATGCAAGAAGAGGAGAACAGGATGAACAGAAGCTTATCATACAAGCCTTTAACAACACCTGGGTTAACCAAAGGTAAGACTTTTTTCAGGTGTGCTTAGAAGCAGCTGCCAAATTCTCACTTGGTCAATCACAGTCAGAAGACTCAAAGGGTTTTTTTTGTTTGGTTGGTTTTGTTTTTTTAAAGTGCTGACACATCAACTGCAGTTTGAACTGACTGATGTTTATCAGTATTATCATTTAATGAGAAACAGGACGCTGCCTATAAATAGATATAATGTTGTCTACACAGCGCACAGTTTTCACTCTTCCGCAGTAGTATTTTTTTTTTAAGAGCCTTACCACTTTTGGAAGGTAGAGTCTTCCAGCATCCTTCTATCCACCCATCTTATGTCAAAGCATAAAATATTTCAAGTTGTCACTGACTTGTATGCTACTTATTTGGTTTTTTAATGTCAAGAACAGCACTAACTGGCAAAGCATACTAAGTTGCTGTGAGATCTCATACAATACATGGACAAATACTAAAGTCAACAGTTGCCTGAAATTTCAGTAGGACCCAAGAAGGCGGGAGGGGGGGAAGAGTCTCCAAGTCACAGTCTACAATTTCTCATGAACCACAACAGTCAGATTTCAACCACCGACCACCATGAACTGCAGACGACTGGAATTCATTTCTACTCTACTCAGACATGTTTATAGGCGGGAGAACTTCTCAGCGTGCTGCCAATTTACTTTGCTCAGGAAATTAGAAAATACAACATTTCTTCCTGCTTATGGCACGCTGACAAAGTGTTTGACCATGCTGGGCTAGAACTTCCACTTTTAAAATTTATCTGGTGCTTTGTCAATGACATCATCAGTCACGGTCATTGCAAGGAACAGAAAAAACCTTGGAGAGTAGAAGATTGGGGGGTGGGGGGAAGAAAAAAAGGAAAAGAGAGGGCAGAGAGAAGCAGCATATGCAAGTCCCATCCCCCACAACATATACTATAAGAAATATTACCTCTGGAAATCATGCATCAAAGCTTGAATCAAAGGTTGTCTTTTTTGCATACAGTAATTAGCATATCGGATGCAATCAGTGAACCAGACACATCATAAAAACCTTTTACTTAAAATTTTAGGACAGATTCTGTCATAAAGACCAGTACTGAGTGGTCGAGTGATTATATTCAATGTAATAAACTACAAATTAGTTGCACTGTGTGACTAGCTTTTTTTGCTTAATACCGAAAGGATTTACTTAAAGCATTGGTTTCTGTTGAATCGAGAAGTTTTCTGGCTGAAGTTTGATCAAATTAAGAGAAGTCGAACAGCATCACAAGACAGCATTTCATCTCCTTCATCTTGCCCTTACGTTGTTTAAAAGAAACGTCTGACTTGTAATACTCTCAAACTCCCCTCCCCCTAAACACTACGTGCCAAATTTAGAAACACAGGTTTAATTCGTTTCCCGTTTGTGTCTTTTTATAGCACAAAATCTAGAAACACTAGAGATCTCACCAATACTGGAGTTTGCCCTGCCTTTATGACAAGATTTTCCTCCTCAAAGTTTTGGTGGCTTCTGTTAAAGGGTCTTCTCATGCCTTTAGGCAGGGCGTTAACAAGCCGGTAATCACCACCAGGACCAACCCCTAATACTGCCTCAGGCAATTTTCTTAAGCTATTTTTTCCTACTCGTTGCTTTAATCAATGACTGATACCCACACCTTTCTCAAAAACTCCCGTTAATTCAGCTGTATAAACACAACTGCGCAGTGGTACGTGCACAATGTTACAAACCACTCCACGCAACTGACCTTTACAAGGCCTAGAGGATGTCTCATTTACAACTGCAAACTCCCATCAATAGAGCTCTACTTAAACAGATGCCGTGAAGCATTTAGGTAGACATTTACTCTCTTTTCACCCCTAGATAAAGATATTAACTAGACTGCACTGGATTTTAACTAGATAGGCCAAATTAGAGTGAGAAAAACAATTATTTTACTTAATCAGATTGTTATTATCCAGGAGCAAAAAGCATGTAGAATCAAACAACAGCACATAAAAGGCATATACAGAAAAGTCAGAGGTACTCAAAAAAAAAAAAATCTAAGTTGTTTATTTACATCAAGAAAACTGATACCAAAGCCTTTCTGGCAAGTGAGACTGGGAAAGAACAGGCTTGGTGGAAGATCCGTCTAAAACTGAAGTAAATGTGGAACACCAGAAGTCAGCAGAACCAGGTGATCAGCACCCAAGAGGAAAAAAAAAAGTTATTTATCAGAGAGATCATTTTATTGTGTTTGCAAAATGACAGAATCACATAATAGCATCACCAGGCTGGTAAGAGGGACACATGCTGCAATATCTTTACTGCTTTGTATACAAGTTATGTAGCAGTCATAGAATCAAGGTTCTCAAACATTTATCCCATTTTTTTCCTACTGCTTATGGTACTACTGTTCAATCTCCTTGTGGGTTCCTGCAGTTCTCCATTGCTAAGGGTTCTGGGACAGTGCTATTGTCCCTCTCTGTCAGATGCCTCTGTCACCGAGAGTATCGGTCCATCACCACCAAAGCCTTTCTGTACGTGGAAGTGAACTGAGGTCTGGTTTGTAGATCACTGATTTCAAAGTTCATCATTATTATGCTTGCTTAATGTTTTTGGAATTATAATGACCTGCATGTCTGGCATAAAGAAGATTATACTGCAGCTTTAGCTTCACAGTGATGTTGCTGCTGACGCATTACTACCCAGTAACAGAGAAAAGCCACTGGAGTGGAAGCAATCACAATTTAACTTCCTCCTCTTAGAGATACGGGAACTGGAAAACAATTACCAATTTCAGATAACTTCAGATAAAGCAATAAAAATTCCTGATTAGCCTTTCCAAATCTGAGTCTTCTCATCAGGGACAGAAGCTTAACATCTGCACCACTAGTTTTTTTGTTTTGTTTTTGGGTTTGTGTTTTGTGGGGTTTGGGTGGGTGGGGTTTTTTTGTTGTTTTTTTATTTTATTTTTGTGTTGTGGTTTTTTTTTTTTGGGGGGGGGGGGCCTGATTTAAAGTAGTAAAAATGGGGAAAATTACAGCCTTATTGCCATAGAATCTTTATGCTGAATCAGAATCAGAGCTTTTAGCAAAAGAATAGCTGAAGAGAGGGTGATTAAAGTGAGGGTCTGCATCCACAGGTGTTTGAAATTTATCAGTTTGTTACAGGAGCTACCACAATCTAAACAACAGAAAACAATACATACACACACATATCTTTATAAAGCCAAACACTGCAAAGCTAACAGCCCATAAGAATATCTTTTATTAGGCAACATCCTCTGAGCAACTACAAAGCCAAACAAGAGGAAAAAAAAACAAAACAAAACTGACAGCCTACTCATTCATTCTGCGACAAACTGGAACAACTTTCAGCAAGCCGACCCACACGTAACTGTCCTAATGGTAAGCCACTTGCCTTTTCAACTATTTACAGTATTCTGGCAGAAATCCAGAACAATAAAAAGGCCATGGCAACCCTGCCAATATATTCTGTTACAGCGAGATTCTTGAGATGGCGGGTAAGTGCTCATAGCACCTAGCTCAATGGTGTGCATTTCACAAAACCAAATCTTGATTCAACCAATTAATACCCACTGACAAATGAATCCACAAAGAACACTCTGTGGCACTAGAAATGTAAATCTTTTTGATAAATTATGAAGACATCACAACAGGAGTCTTCTTTTTAAAAACCTTTCCCATGCTGAACAAAGTAATGCTTTTTATACTACTGAGAAGAAGCAAGGTGCTTCTGCCTGTCTTCCTCAGTCTAAAAAGTTACCTACATACTCATGTCACAAACAATGAATTTATAAATCGTTTTGTGAAGCTTTCTCGTAA